ACACTTACTAATATGCAGTAATTTAAAATAAATAGTTAAAAATTTTCCAGGTGTGTAATCTTTTCATAGAGATAAATGATAAGAAGCAAGCGTGACTAATTGAGTAAGGCGAGTGGCAGGAATATTGAAAATCTCGTGTTTGAAATCTGCTTTTGTAACTTTTTTTGTTTTGATATTTGTTTCTAGCACTGTACCATTAAGTGAATCATTAAATAATACTTTTGGCTAAAAAATATTATTTTATATTTATTAACAATAATTGCATATGTTAAATTGCACTTTTGTTGCAATATGTATGTTGTAAAATGACTTCATTTTTTCTATTTACAATAGCAAATCAGTATTCTTTTTAAAATAATTAGTTATTAGTTTACCATATGCAAATATGTTATTAATATACAAAATAATATTTTTTAGCCAAAAAAACATTATTAACTAATTTACACTGTTAGAAACAAATGTGGAAAAAAGAAAAAAAAAATGCGAAAATCAAGTCTCGTATACGGGACTTTGAATATGCTAGGCACTCGTCTTACTCGATTAAAAGCGCTTGTTTCTGAGCATTTGCCGTCCGCTATGTGTTTACGTCGGCTCGATGGTAGCAAGACAGAAACGTCCGCTCTCTCTCTATAGCCGAACGGCCGAGCGCACACAGGCGCGTGACGCTTCTTACTTGTGTTGTGGCTCGAGAGCCGGGAGCCCAGTGTTCCGATTAGGGACCGGTTGTATGCGCATGTGCAGCTCTGCGCATGTGCGGTAATGGAGATCCAGTGCCGTTATATGTTGTGTGTTGACCGTATGACGGGACGTTTTGACATGAGGAGGTTAGGTGACTACAAATAAGTAATATTTATATATTTACAAGCATGGAATCTACGGAGCCAGCAGCTAAAAAACCAAGAAGTAGAAAATTTCAATCAATTTCAAAAAATTTTGAAATATTTTAAATGTAGGGGGGTAACGGTGCCTTGTTTAACTTGTATGAGACACTGTACTGACGCCGTATTGCCGCACATGCGTATACAACCGGTCCCTAATCGGAACACTGCGGGAGCCCCGGATTCAAACCGGTAGTAGATATCGCATCACTGAGTATACCCAACATCTGTGCGACAAGGGAAGGTAGAACATGACTTTTGTTCGCTATGCGCATGTGCACTGTCTGTCCGCGTAGATTTGAAACGCTTATTTTACGTACATATATGTAATAATCAAATTCTGAAAAAAGTTTCATAAATATTAATCGTTTATAATAAATAGTAATATTATATATATATTACATATAAAATATTACATTTAAGTTTAAAAATAATTTGTAATTATTTATGAATATAATGAAAATACAAATGAAAGAAATATTCTATAAAAGAAAAAAAAATATATGGATTTCTTATCATTTATTTATCAACAGTAATTATAAACTATATTATAAACTATATTTATTATAATTAGAAATTATAAAATATTACAATATGTAGAAATCTATAATAAACTATGTGGAACAATAAACAATAAAATCTGTTACATGTGTTTAAAATGTATTAATTTAGTATACGTATGCCAAAGATATTCTTTTTTATCCGCATGGGTAGCGCGTTTTCCTTCATGATATAATCGGATTTGTACATATATATTAGAAATTTCTTTTATTAATTGATATTTATGATTATTAAATTGATTTTTGCGAGAAGCATTTTGCTTATGATTAGTCACATGCGTGAACACTTGATCGTAAATAGTACGACATGCAACATTAGTAATAAATTGTTTAATATTTTCTTTTGTAAAAATGAGATGACTGTATTTTTGAATAGCACGTCTCGAATGGCAGAACGTGATATTTCTATGACATCTTCGGAAGGAAGAATCAAATTATCTCTATTTTTAATAGCAGTCAACTTCGAAATTGCTTCGGCATTGCTAGATATTAAAAATGTTGCACATACATTACACATGTTTTTATTTCGTAACAATTTCTTTATCACGAATCCGCTGATGTGTGCCACTACGTCTTCAATAAAAGGATTTAATGACCACCAAGTAGACAAGTAGTCATGGTCAAATAAATCGACAAAAGTTTCATCTTCTTCACGAGAATAACGTCTGTTTCTGCCATTCATTTTTGCGGATGTAACAAACAATATCGGGATATCATTAGGTACACAGTTACCACGTTCAGAAGCAGCAATTTCGTGTCTAACTATTAATCTTTTGTAGCTGGACTCGAATTGTTTTACACTGGGATTATCATTAAATCCCCCTCTACTTCGAATTGCGCTAAAAAAAGTTTCTAAGTGGTTTTAGTTTAATTTATAAGTTAACAAATAACGTAATCCGTGACTTTTCAATTCTTTAAATAACTCGAACATATTTTTAAGACATACAATAAAACCGAGAAAGCCAGTTTTCCGATTGCCGAATAAGATGGATTTATTTTCATAATCTTTTATCTGCATAATGTAATTTTCGAAGGTGTTAGCTTTTTAATTCATCAAAATTGTCTTCAGTAAGTGCCACATTATATTTTTTAAATCCACTAAATTTAGACCTCACATTTAGCAAATCAAATGCATCGTTAAATACTTTGCAGAACTGTGTTGTCTGTTTCGGTGATTTTAATTCGGTCGACATTTTTAAATAAATTGTAAAGCACAACTGACACTTTCACTCAGCGTTTGCGCTGCCAGTTTGACCTTTATTCGATTTTTTTGAAAAGCAATATACTTTTTTGTTAGTTTTGTTGCAGCTTTTAAACCTTCTTTTTCTTCCAGTTTCTGGAGAAGAACAATATCTTCCCACAAAATGTCTTCGCCATTGTTTCTTAAAATTAATTTGTCACCTAGAGTGTTTCTTATCAACTTCAAAGCATGACAAGAATCTAAGAAACAATAAATTTTTTTCGATGCTGGATCGATGAAGAAAAGTTTAAAATTTTTGCCAAATTAAAAATTCGCACCTAAAATGGTGCATATATTGATATTGGAACTAGCTCCATCAAATGTCAAAGATCGAACAATAATTCCCGAATCATGGATCAACTCAAAACATTCTAGTAATAAACTACTTCTTTCTGATCCGGTTAGCGACTTTATCAAAAAATAACCTATTGGCACTTTCCAGTGGCCATTTAGCGCAACAATCATAAATACTAACGCTTGATTAACTTTTGGAGGATGATCAGAGTCTTCTGTTCGAATATCATGTATACCGAGATCGACATATCCGCAGTATCGTTTTCTATCGTATACAATCTCTTCTCAAATTGCAATCTCGTCGACTACCAAATTACATAAAATTGGCACTTCACTGTGTTCAACTTTACACTTCAGAGCGTGAAACACTTCATCTGTAAATCCGGGTCGTCCATTTAACGCAGCATACCATTTACGAATAGTGGAAGGTTCAGGTAAAAGGTTTTTGAAGATTTGTCTTACAAATGCATAAGCTTTCAAAGAATAAAAACTTAAAGTCAAGGCAAACTTTCTTAGTTCTGCTGAGTATATTTTTCTTAATCTTTTCTTCCTATTCAGTATTTCATGCATAATCTTAGGACAATTAACCTATATGTAAATAAAAATCACAAAACCACATTAATATTATAATAATTTTATTATTTTCTTTAGCAATACAATACATATTGCTTAATGTCAATAATGTATATATATTTAATAAAAAATGCCTACATTTCAGCCTATACATATAAAAAATTACATAAATATCAATTCTGTACATTTGAATGAATTATGAAAGTAATATTATATATAATTACAAATTCTGAACAACTCTGCTAAAATATAAATCTCGTATAAGTAAAAAAATGCATAATTTAAAAATAGTTTAAGAAAATCAAGAAAATTTCTATAATCTACGTATAATCTGTATAAATTTTTCTATATAGCATTTTCTTTATTAGTATCGGCCCTTTATGTAATTTTGGAAAATGAGAGAAACTTTCTACTTAGATAATTAACTTGTAGTGTAATTAATAAGTATATTGTGCAAGCTTACCGTTAAACTGTCAAATGCACTTTCAGAAATTAAATTCTTTTCTTTCAATTCATTAACTAAATTTTTCATATTTTTAATACGTGCATGAAATCGGTTTCTTGAATGTTGCAACGTCCTAATTGTTTTTTTTTGTTTATCAATAACTCCTCTCGCTAAAGCTACAGTTCGTTTTGCTCTTCGAGGTGTAGCTAAGTGTGGACTTCGGATATCACCAACGTAGCGAGGTTCGAAAATCGTTCTTGGAGGTGTTCGACACGTGCCTGCTAAGGTATGTAATAAATTAATAATATTACTATTATATAAAGTTGAGTGCTATTAATAAGATTAGTATACTGAATTATATTTCAACAAAAAACGTTAACATGAATTATAAATACCTTGCACGAATTCATTTGCAGATCCTTTGTTGCTGTCAGCAGTGTACTGCACCGAAGACTCATTGCAATGAGTATCGACATCAATTGGATCTGAAAAATAATTTTATGCATTGTGTTATTAACGACTGAAACATTATTAATAATGTCATAATTTTAAAAATGTGTCATTTTTTCAATTTATAATAAAATATTAATATATTTTCTTGTATATAGTATGGATATGACCAAACAGAGAGTTTATAGGGCATCCTGTATTAAAGTAAAGTAGGTTTGGTAGTGATTACTTGATCAATGACGCAGATCCAAAGTCAGTGTCAAATGTGTCTTTTAATGTCCCTTAGATTGTTTGGTCATATTCATCTGGTATAGTATATTGTGTAATTATTGTATAACATTATTATTATTAATATTAGTATATAATTAAAAAACTATATACTTTTATTAACCGGATAATTCATTGATCTCAAATTAAATTAAAATATTTGAAATGTATTTTAATGAAATAAATTATATGCATAAAAATTATACCTTCAATCAATGTACATCCAGTAACTTCTTATCAACAGAAATCTCGATTTCAGTAGCTGGCTCGATTCCATTCACATTAATTTTTTTCATTGGCAGCTCGTATGTAGATTTGTTGGCTACATTTGATCTGAAATTGAATTGATCATATAATTGTAATATACTGAATACATAGATTTGTAATAAAAATTACAGGAAACCAAACAGTTATTATTTATATTTACTTAAAAATAATTAAACTTTAAAATTGTACCTTTTCTTTGATTTTTTTGGAATATGATTGATGGCGTTGCTCCTGGAATTACAATAGTGCAATTTAATTTTTGTTTTAAATATTCCTCCTTGAAATGATGCGAGCAAAGGAACGTTGCTGTATTAAGAATCTCTTCTTTGATTCCACAAAAAGACAACCATTGATCTTTAATACTCTGTTTTTTGGAAACCTGTTAAGAAGTAACACATTTGTTTTAATTATTAATATTACAATATTTCATCATACATAACATATAAAAAATTAACTTTAATTCATACCGATGATAAAATGCAGTTTTGCTGCGATTGCCACATAGCACACAGTACACAACCATTTTCTTCAACTTTTTTAAACTACACGCACAATGCAAAAATCATTAAAATTTTTACAAATTTTGATGTTCGTACACGTGTTGTACATTACGTGATCTCACAAAGCCTGACAAAGATTGATATAAACAGATATTAACACAATTTTACTATGGCTTACTATGCGTTCTTACAGAAAGAGTAACAGAATAAGACAGCACTATATATATTTGTCTCACTTCTTGAGTACAATTGTTTGCTCTTATTCTCTTTCCATGTATATAAGTTCTATGGGCTCAGCTATGTTTCTTAAAAGAAAGAAAGAAAAGCACGACACATAAATGTTAGAGCGAACGAGACATCGATAGGGACACCGAGCTGCCCTAACTGTCTCGCTCGCACTTCCTTCATTAGACGGTTGCATGAGGAAGACAGCTATAGGGACACCACTAACTTGACATCACGTTTTGCAATGCTTTCTCTCTCGATCGTCCGATTTGCGCTAAGAATGCAAGATGAAAATATCCCCCACTACTATTCCCATTGCTGCTAGCTGTGCTCCTCGCTTCAAGCGACACGTCAAATACGCATTTGTGTGAATGCGTGTGACGCCTTCGGTTGTTCCAACACGTACACCGATGCCGGTGAGGGACACCATACGTGCCGGTACGTGTACGGAAGCATTTACATATGAAATTTATTTTTAGATACAAACAATTAACTTGAAGTAAAATGCAATTGAACTTTATTGACTTATGCATATACAGCGGAGTGTCGATGAGTTGCTATTTTGTTGAAAATTTGAATTTTTTATTAGTTGAGAACAAAAGAATGGGGAAAGAATAAAAAGATGTTTGTTACATTCTTAAACGTTCTTAGTTATCAAGTTTCAAGCATGTAC